TTTAGGGAGGTTGGGTCTCCCTAAGGCCCACTCAGATCTCCTGATTCTGGGTTCCGGGTGATGGGGACAGAGGGGTCATCCCTCATCTTCAAGGCGATGGGCACGTGAGGTGGCAGTGGAAGCGGCAGAGTCCCTGAGAGGGTCACCTGCGTGCAACCCTGCCCTCCCAAGCTTACCTGGAAAGAAGCAGGGGTGCCCCCTTGACGATCTGTCTTCATCTCGGTGTCTGCCTGAGAGGGGCAGCCACGGCTGCGGGGCCCGGGGTCGGCGGGGTGCAGAGTGCAGACCGGAAGTTGCCCCTGCCCTGGGGGCTGCACCGGCCCAGACAGACCCCACAGCACTGCAAGGGTGGTGCCCTGTCGGGGCTGTGCCTAGTCTTCTCTGCGCCAGGCTCTGCGCCAGGCTTCTGTCTTTCCACATACAAGCTGCTTGGGGTATAAAACAAAACAGTGGATTTAGTCTTTTGCAAATAACCAGCCGGATGCAATGGAACCAGCATGGGGAATCAGTGCCTTGAATTCAGCCTTTTGTCTGTTGCCCCAACAAGAAAGCAAGAGGGGGAGGAGAAACGGCTGGCCCAGAGCCTCCCTTTGCGAGAAGCTGTCTCCTCGCTGAGGGCCTGCGTTCTTTCTCCTGCTCTGCACCAGCCCTTTGCTCTCAAGCGGCGGGGCCCAGCTACCCCGGCAAGTCACAGCAGAGCTGATCTGGAGCGTATTTCTGTCATATCAAAATCCATTTTTCTTCAGCTCTAAAATCAGAGGTGTGTTCTGACCGGGAGCAAAATTGCAAATACAGTAAAAACTGCAAGCTGCAAGCAAGGACGGCTCAGCTGCCCTGTCATGCCATGTGCAGGAGGCCATGCCCACTGCTTTATGTGCCTGGGGGGGGTGGGTGGGTACAGTTATCACCCCCATTTCACAGGTGAATAAACTGAGATCTGAGAGGTGGAGTGAGGTCCCCCAGGTCGTGGGTGGGTGGAAAGGCCCAGCTCTGGACTCAGGGCTCCTGACTTCCGGCTCCCACACTGCAGGCTCTACTCTCCCAAGGTTCCAGAACTGCCAGGCAGGCTGGCCCAGCAGGGCCCCGTTGGCCTCAGGAGTTTGTTTCAAAGCCCTGTGTCCCTCACTCTACTCTCAAAGCACCTAGAACTGGTCCAGCTCATCTTCTATCTTGCTTTGGGATTTGAAATTATATATTTCTCACTGCTTCTGTTCATTTTTGTGTACCAATCATTAACCATCTTGTCTTTTGTAAGTGACCTGAAATTTCACGTAACGTACAACTAGCCATTTTAAAGTGAACAGTTCAGTGGGATATAGCACATTCACAACGTTGTGCAACCACCACTTCTATCTAATTCCATCTAATTCTATCTAATTCTATCTAATTCTATCTAATTCCAGGCCGTCATCTTCGTCACCCCAAAAGGAAACCCCGACCCCGTTAGCATCATTCCTGTTCCCCCTGCCCCAGACCCTGGCAGCCGCCAGCCTGCTTTCTGTCTCCATGGATCTATCTGTTGAGGACATGGAGTGATGTATGTATTTTAGAGCAAAGCCTGGCTGAGTAGCTGTTAGCTCCCTTTTCCTCACCATTCGCTCTTGTCTGGGCGCACCTTGCGTGCACATTTCTGACCCTCTCCAGCCTCTGCTAATCTGTTCGGGGACCCCTGGAGTCACGGAATTCAGGAATAATATGCCGAGCAGTTCTTTTCACTGATGTGGAAACAGACTCGGAAGCCGTGGTTGGTTCTGGTCACTCAGGTCTGCAGGGGCGCGGTGTCGAGGCTTGTGGAAGGCCAGGGTGGCAGGACCCGGGAGCTTGGAGTGGGAGGGAGGCTCCAGCCCCCACCTGGGACCCTTGTGCTGCCTGCTCCATCTCTCAGAGACAGTTGATATTTGCCTTTGTCTCCGTTTATGTGATAGACTCTGCGTTCATGTCTGGAAGGTGGGAACGATGCTGTCCAGGCTGTAGAGACGTGGTGTTGATTCTGTGATTGGGCCGGGTGGCCCGCTTCCCAACACCTCCCCGTTATCACCACTTTATCTGAGGGAGGGAATGTGGGCACTCATTTTCTCAGGGGTGGGGTCTGCCGCACCTCCCAGGATGCCAGCTGTTGCTCCCAGTCTGGCACCCTCGGGACGAGGTGGACAGGAGCTCACTGGGTGCAGAGCCCGGGTACAACCGCGAGCCCTGGGTTTGAATCCCTCCGCCTTGGCTGCCTGGCCCCTCTCTGAGCCTCAGTTTCCTCACCTGGGAGGTAAAATGCTGTTCACCCCTAAGGGTTGTTGGGTGTTTTTTTGGTTTTTTAAAATTCTTTATTTTTGGCTGTGTTGGGTCTTCATTGCTGCGCACAGGCTTTCTCTAGTTGCGGCGAGTGGGGGCTACTGTTCGTTGCGGTGCACGGGCTTCTCGTTGCGGTGGCTTCTCTTGTTGTGGAGCACGGGCTCTACACATGCGGGCTTCAGTAGTTGTGGCATGCAGGCTCACTAGTTGTGGCACACGGCCTTAGTTGCTCCGCGGCATGTGAGATCTTCCCAGACCAGGGCTCGAACCCGTGTCCCCTGCATTGGCACGCGGATTCTTAACCACTGCGCCACCAGGGAAGTCCTATCCCTAAGGTTTTGATGATGATGATGAATATTAGTTACCGTTAACTGAGCATTAACGATCTTCTAGCACCTTACACGGATTACATGGATTACCATGTTTAAGCAGCACAGCCACCTTCCCCGTTTTACAGATGAGGAAACCGAGGCACAGAGAGTTAAAGCAGATATTCCCAAGGGCACAGATCCAGAAGGAGTGGAGCTTGGATTTGACCCCATGTCTGCTCCACTCCTGACTCCTCCCTGTGCCCCCATATCCATGGCCTCCACAAGGCTGTCTGTGGAGCTCCTGTGCGTCCTTAGCTGAAAGCCCAGCCTGCCTTGAAGGGATGCAGGGGTGCTGGCAGGGAGGTGGGCTGAGTCTCTTCATGCAGGAGCATCCTCAGCTTTGGTTGGTGGGGGGGCACCAGTGAAACCCAGAGTGACATCTTGGCCGGTCCCAGCTGGGGCATCTGGATTCATTCAGCAAATAAACATGGGACACCCAGTTAAACTTGAATTTCAGATCATCATTTCTAGTATAAGTATGTCCCCTGTACTATGTCTCTAAAAATTACTTGTTCATGTGAAATTCAGATTGAACTGGGCATCCTGTGTTTTATCTGACAGCCCTGTCGCCAACCCACAAGTGGGCGTGGCAGTAAGCTGGGGGTGAGAGGTCCCTGCAACAGCAGCCTACGCCCAGCTTGCACTGGCCACAGGGAGACCACTGTCCAGGCAGACGGGTCTGGCCTTAAAGGGCCAGCTTCCCGCAGGCCACCCACCCCAGGCAGGGGAGGGGACGTCCAGGACCAAGAGGCTAGTCTAGGTTCCTTCTCACAACCCCAGGTGCAAGCCCTGGGTCTCTGCCCCAGCGTGGGCAGCTGCAGCCTGAGGCAAGAAAAGGTGTAGGTTGGGGCGGGGATGGGAGGAGAGAAGATGGTGGGGAGCCCCACCCTGTGGAGTGTCATTTAATTTGCATAACTACCTACGGCAGGAGAAATTTAGACCCATCCCATGGGAGCCACACAGGCTATAAGTAGAGCAAGAATACGGGCCCAGTGCTGCTGAGTTTATTTTATTATGTGAAGTGTACATAGATAACTGGGCTTCCCTGGTGGTGCAGTGGTTAAGAATCCGGCTGCCAACGCAGGGGACACGGGCTCGAGCCCTGGTCTGGGAGGATCCCACATGCCGTGGAGCAGCTAAGCCCGTGCACCACAACTACTGAGCCCACGTGGCACAACTACTGAAGCCCACGCGCCTAGAGCCCATGCTCTGCAACAAGAGAAGCCACAGCAATGAGAAGCCCGCGCACCGCAACGAAGAGTAGGCCCCGCTCGCCACAACTAGAGAAAGCCCGCGTGCAGCGACAAAGACCCAACGCAGCCAGAAGTAAAATAAAATAAATAAATTTTATTTTTTTTAAAAGATACATAGATAACATAAAACTTGCCACTCGAACCACTTTTCGGTGCACAGTTCAGTGGCATTAGTCATACTCATAATATCGTACAACCATCACCTCTATCTATTTACAAGACTTTACTGTCACTGCAGACAGAAACTCTGTACCCATTAAGCAATAATTCCCTGCTCCCCTCCCCCCGCCCCATCCCCACCATCTACTTTCAGTGTCTCTGAGTTTGACTCCTAGGTATCTCATATAAGTGAAATCAAATAGTGTGTGTCCTTTTGTGACTGGTTTATTTCACCTAGCAGAGTGTCCTCAGGGTTCGTCCACATTGTAGCAAAGAGCAGAGCTGCCGTCCTGTTGAAGGCTGAATAATGTTTCATTGTTTGGATGGACCACATTGTCTTTGGCTGTTGTGAATAATGCTGCTGTGCACATGGGTGTGCAATGTTGATTCTTTTGGAGATACCAGGCCTGCCATTTTTCATGCCTTAAGGTGTCCTTGCTGAGTGGTCTTCCCACCTCTTCTTGGATGCCTCCAGCAATGGGGATCTCATTACCTTCCAAGGCAGCCTCGTCAGTAGCCAATTTGTAGCCTGGATCTGTGTCCTTGTAGCTGCCCCTTATGGGCCCCATGAGCCCTGTTTGGAGCTGCTCACCCAGGATGTGTTTCTTCCTTCTCTTCCACGCCCCTCCCTGTGGGCCTTCTGCCCACATGGCCTGGGGAGCCCTGCAGGTCACTCCTGACTGCCTCAGCCTCTTACTCCTCCCTTCCCCCTCCCCGACCTCTAAGAGAGAGAGAACAAAATCCAGCCTTGGGAAGCAGGAGGGAAGGGTCTTTAAGAACACTATCAGTGGCAGGAATCATAAAAGCACCTGTGGTCTGATGGTCTGTCTGCCCCGACGTAAACCTTGCCGAGTTGCCCCAAGACAGGGCAGACCGTGGTGGCTGCGTTGCCCTCCCGCACTCAAGCTCACCCTCTCCTGTGTCTCCGCAGGGACCTACCAGGGCCAGTGGGTCGGCGGCATGCGTCAGGGCTATGGTGTGCGGCAGAGTGTCCCCTACGGCATGGCAGCAGTCATTCGCTCTCCCCTGAGGACCTCCATCAACTCCCTGCGCAGCGAGCATACCAACGGCGCCGCGCTGCACCCCGACGCCTGCCCCGCCGTGGCCAGTAGCCCAGCCGTGTCCCGGGGGGGCTTCGTGCTCGTGGTGCACAGCGACTCTGAGATCCTCAAGAGCAAGAAGAAGGGGCTGTTCCGGCGCTCGCTGCTGAGCGGGCTGAAGCTGCGTAAGTCGGAGTCCAAGAGCAGCCTGGCCAGCCAGCGCAGCAAGCAGAGCTCTTTCCGCAGCGAGGCCGGCATGAGCACCGTCAGCTCCACGGCCAGCGACATCCACTCTACCATCAGCCTGGGTGAGGGCGAGGCCGAGCTGTCAGCCATCGAGGACGACACCGACGCCACCACCACCGAGACCTACGTGGGGGAGTGGAAGAGTGACAAGCGCTCGGGCTTCGGCGTGAGCCAGCGCTCGGACGGGCTCAAGTACGAGGGCGAGTGGGCTGGCAACCGGCGGCACGGCTACGGCTGCATGACCTTCCCCGACGGCACCAAGGAGGAGGGCAAGTACAAGCAGAACATCCTCGTGAGCGGCAAGCGCAAGAACCTCATCCCGCTGCGTGCCAGCAAGATCCGCGAGAAGGTGGACCGGGCCGTGGAGGCGGCCGAGCGGGCGGCCACCATCGCCAAGCAGAAGGCGGAGATCGCGGCCTCCAGGTAGGAGGGCGGGGGCGGCGTGGGGAGGCGCGGGGTGGTTCTGCGTCACGGGGCCTGGTTTGGTTGGTTGGTTGTGCTGCCCAGGTTGAGGGCTACACTGGTGTTTCTCAAACTGTGCCCTGCGGAACCCTGGGGTTCCTCAGAGGTTCCCAGAGGTGCGGCGAGGAAATGGTTGATCTGAGGGGGTTCTGGGTCTTACAGCCTCCCCTCAAAGGGAGCAGACCTCCCTTCCTCTCTTTTACTTGTTTTGTATGCTGGTGCTTGACGTAAAACATTGATGGATAAAGATGGTGGCCATTCTGCTTGGTAACATGCATAGGACGGCTGCGGGCTGAGAGAACCGTGTGCTGCCTCCACGGCCGCACTCCCAGGTGGGCATGGAGTGCCCACTGCTGCAGGCACGTGGGAGCAGGGTGGCAGCTGTCCCAGCCACCCCAGCCCGAGGCTCAGATTCTCCATGGGCCCTGGATTTGGCACCAGCTGGACAGACCCGCTGTGGGCACTGGCCTGGGGGCTCACTTGAGGCTTGGCGCTGTAGGCCAATAGCTGTTCTGAATGGGATGCGGGACTTACTGCATTTAGGGTTCAGCGGGGCCACCAGGCCCTAAGCGGTGGGTCCAGAGCTGACCATTGGCGGGCTCCGTGTTGGATGTTGAGGTGTCTTCGGTGTTGGTACAGGGGTGGGGGCTTCAGAGCTGGAGGAAGGGGCCCTGGGTCCCCCTGGGAAGCACAGAGGTAAGTGTGTGAGCCTGGGTCTGCCCTGCTCGGCTGTGGGCAGCAGGAACCGCCAGCCACAGCTTGAAGGAAGCCGCCCTATTGCAAGCCAAGGCCCCCAGGTGGCCATGCTCCTGGGCTCTAAGGAAACAGTTCCTGACTTGTGTTCATCGAGAGCTTCCCACCGCCGTCCTCTTTCCTGGGTCCGGGTAAGGCCCTCGGGTCCGCCCTGAGAGTCTTGGGGACTGGGACGGGGATCTGGGTTGCTTTAAATGCCTTAGGCTGCCCGGTGAAGGAGGTGTTCGGGACGACAGACGCTGGGTCTTGCAGGATGATTCTGTATTCCCGGCCAGGGGCAGGCCTGGAGTTATTCCAGGGAGACGCCCAGCTCAGTGACAGCTCAGGCCTTCCCAGCCTTGTCACTAATAAAACTTTAGCTCGTTCGGTTCTGGTCTCCAGTGACCTTTGATCCACACTGAAAGAACAGAAAAGGTGGCTGTGGTTTTTTTGGCAGAGTATCTGCAGCTCCCATCTGAGGTCTCGGAAATGAAACCCATTCCAAGAAGCTGAAGGGAGATGGAATTACTACCTTGAATGTCGGGGTCCTGCACCGCTCTGTTCACCCCTTCCTACTCCCCCAGAAGTGTTCAGGCCCGCATGAACAGAAGCAGCATTTATGACCACTCATCTGGTATTTTAAGATCAAATTTGGTTCCATAGTTACTTTTTCCATTATAAATGTAACACTTGCTCCGTATGGAAAAGGCAGGGAGCCCGCAGCCTGAGGGTGGGTCTCACGCGTCACCCAGAGACTCCAGCTGGCGTTTGGCGTATTTCCTTCCTTCCAGTAGTTCATCTGTTTGTCACGTTTGTGTTTGGTTGCCTCACTGACCTCAGTGGACCCAAGGCACTTTACAGGGCAGGGGGACAGTGTTGTCAGAAATTTAGGTGCTTGTGAGGCAGAAGCACAAGGATTTCATTGACTTTAAAGTCCGACACCCAGGCGAATTTCTTGAGACTGGGGACGTGGGACTCATCTGTGGGAGGTGTTTTCTGACACCTCCCACGGAAGCTGCCGGGGGGCTGGTCTTCATGAAGGAGTCTGTGGAGGTGGTGGTGGTGTGGGCGGAGCTCAGAGCCAGCTCCCTGAGGAGCCCCACCTGGGACAGTCTTCCCACCTCTCGCCCGTGAGATGAGAGTGGCGGCTGCCCGCCTGCCACAGAGGCCTGGTAACTTCCCTGACAACGGCTCCATGTATCGGGTGCTGGCTCGCTGAGACGTCCAGCCTGGGCCCATCACTGCTCAGCAGCCCGGGGGAGGTGCTCGCTCTCTCTGGGCCACAGGTTCCTTGCGGAAGGATGGGATGGAGCGACATGCAGTGCCCTCAGCGTGTGTGGGGCCTGGCGTGCGCCGCTGTCACCCTCCCAGGCGTCCCCTGAGCTGGGCCGGCCCCTCCCCTCCTGCCTCTGGCCTCGTGGGGAGGTGGGTGTGAATGCACACCCATGGTGTGATCCCAGCCTTGCGGCTTCGTGGTGCCAAGGTCACCCCTCGGAGGTGGGAGGGGACAGTGTCCTCGGTCACCACGACAGGATTGAGGACGAGCCTCCGTCCCAGGCTGTGGTGGGAGCTGCACTTGCTGTGTTTCTCCATGAGCTTAGATTTGAAAAAAAAAAGAAAGAAGAGAAAAGGAGGAGGACCAGAGGCGGCTGTCCTGGAGAGTGAAGCCAGCGGATGCGGGCAGGTCAGTGCCCACCCTCCACCGCAGTGCTGCCGGGGCCACGGCAGCCGCCTGGGGCTGTGGTGCGGCTGGCCCCGGGCGGGCTGTGGTCACTGTCACAGCCAGGTTCTGGCCAGGCGCGGGGAGCTGCGTCCTCGGGCCCCAGCCGGGCTCGGTCGCCAAGCCGAGTCAGTGAGAAACGGTTTGGTCTGTCCTCGTCTTGATGCCTGGGACCTTCCCTGGAGGGTGGCTGCAGTGAGGACAGGGGCGCAGCCTTTCCTGGGAAATGGGGGTGGCACGGAGCTCGGGGTCTGAGTGGGGGTCCTGTTACCTCCGTTTCAGGGCAGACCGCACCCGTAGCTTCTAAGGGCTGGGCCCCGGCCCCGCCCCTGAGATGGGTTCCCAGCATGGTTCCCAGCGTCCCTGCCCCCATTGTGCGCTGGGATCACCTGGGGGCAGACGCACAGGCGGCCCACTCCAGAGATGCTGAGCTCCTTGCTGGGGATGCCACCTGGGCTTCAGAGCCCTTTGAAAGCTCTCCAGGTGATTCTCAGGTGCCCTCGGCACCCTCAGGAGGTGTGTAAAATGCAGATGGCCGGGCCCCACCCCCAGAGCTTCTGCCTCAGCAGATCTGGGCGGGGCCTGAGAACCTGCATTCCTGAGGAGCTCCCGGGATGCTGGTCGGGCAGGCCTGCCACTCTTGTATCTCCCAGGAGGCCCCAGGGAAGAGGAGACGCGTGCAGACATGCCTGTGAGCAAAGGTGGGGAGGTGGAGGAGGTCCCTGCCCCGTCAGGGTCAAAGTGGGAGCCGGGGCGAGGGGAAGGTGTGCCAGGCGGGTCGGTCTGGGCGAGGCAGATGGCATCAGAGCCCCTGCTGTGCCCCAGCTGTGACTTCTCAGCATCGTGTCTGCGCAGGAGCTCGTTTTGAATGAATGAGTGAATAACTGCTCAGGCCCCACCCCCTCACGTTGTCAGGGGCCCCGGCCACCTCCTTTGGTTCTGGCTCCTGGACGTGTGGCCCTGGCCACGGTGGGGCAGGGGACCCCCAGGCCAGGCTCTCGAGAGGGCTGAGGGCCCCTTCTTGCTTCTCGGTGCCCGCAGATTCTCCAGGGTGCGAGGCACCCCCACCCCGGGGTCCAGCAAGGCAGCGTCTGCTCGCAACGTTCACGGGAGAGAACTGCGAGTTCCTGTGGGTTTAGTCTGTCTCGGGGCCGGGCCCGACCTCCCGCAAACACGGGCCACTCCTCTGATCCAGGCGCGCTGCTGCACCTCGCGGGTCCCCTGGCTCCATGGAGGGAAGGAGAGGGAAATCCCTCGCCCCAGGGTCCTGCGTTGTGGGGATTATGTGACAACTCGCTTCCCCGCCTGGACACCCTGCAGGTACCAGGTTCGCGCCTGAACGTGCCCTTTCAGAGGGCCAGGGGCTGGATGGTGGAACAGACGCTCGTGTACCCCCTACCCCACCCTGCCTCTTGGCCTGGTGCCCTCTGGCGCTACACCCGCAGCCTGGAACTGGGAGCCAACTCTGCTTCCCGGGAGTGACCTCTGTGCTTGGGGCTGAGTGGGCAGCAGCTGCAGGCAGGATGGCCGTGCTGCTCCAGGATCTCTTGCTCCCCGAGGGGCGGGCAGCCCTGGACGGGCCGGGGTATGGGGGCAGGAGGTGGGGGCAGCCGGCACACCCGCTTCTGCGCGTTGAGGCTGCTGGGCGGTCGGGGGGGTGGACGGCGTCGTGGCCCCAGGCCCGCGTGCGGCCGTCAGCTGACGCCCCTGTCTTGTGATGCTTTGCTGAGTGAGCAGAATCGGCGGTGGGTGGATCTGGGAGGGACCTTGACCCGACGTTTAGGTGTGGAAGATGACAGTTCTTGGCACGTGGGCAGCCGTTCCTCTCTCCCGCACCCACGGCAGACGTGGCTAATTGACGGCTGCGCTCAGAATCCTCACGCCAGGCAGTCCAGCCCTTCTGAAGGTCGGAGGTCATCCCTGCCAGCACGGTGGGAGAGTGGACCCCGCGGGCAGCGTGCCTGAGAGCCGGGCCCCTGTGCCAGCAAGGCAGCGCCCGGGTCTCAGAGCCAGGCAGTGGCCCAGGCGGGACTAGAGCTCACATCTTGGGCGCTGCCTACTGCCCTGTTCCTGTACTCGGCCCCTTCCCACCTGCACTAGATTCTGGGGACCCTAACTGTGAATAAGGGGGTGCTGACTGGCTTCCTTAAAGTGCTCTCCAGATTCAGCCCTGCCCCTGGGACAGGCAGGGTTTGGCGTATGAAACCTCGGGTGAGGCCTACTCAGGGAAGGGCTTCCAAATCCCCAGTCGCTTTTTTGTTTCTTCCCCCCAGTTATTCCACATAAATGTATAGAATGTCAGCAACTACCTGAAGCATTAAATACAAAGATAAGTAAGACGTGGTTCCAGCCATTTAGGGAAGAACTTGCCTACAAGTTTAACATTTATATTAGCAGATATTCTACTGACTTCAAGAAGGTCTTGTCTTGGTTTTTTAAAAAAAAGAAATAAAAAGGATGTCATTCTTTTTCTTATTGTAACGTTGCTGTGCGCAGTCACTTTTCTTAT